GCGTCATAACCGCTGCATACAAAATGATGACTAATTAGTTTCGTCAATTTTTCTTTCTTTTCTTTCTTGCTTCCAAACTGGATCGCTCAGTTATTTGCCGAAGAGGCCTGGGGAAGAACAACGGCAGTGGTTGGGGTGATTATGTTTATCATCTCACGCACGCTTTCACATACTACTCTTATATTGTCTTTGATTTTACGAATTTTTCCCGCTATTCTGTCCTTCAAACTCGCTTGTAATATATGTTACTGTCTGTGTGTCAAAAGTTTGTTCTGCAAAGTTCATGAATTTTTTCATTCTGTGATGTATAGAGAGGTTATGTTATAGTTAATGATTTTCTTGTGGTTCCCTCTTGTTTTATGTTATATAAAACATTAAGGTGCATGAAATTAGCAAAATTCAGGTCTAAATTTATATTTAAGAAAATTATATGGTACAAAGTCAATATCGAGAAGGAGTTTTATTCAGTCATATGACCAGAAATTCTAATGCGAATGAGAATTTTGCTTTATTACTGAATAAATATATTTCTTTTAAACAATAAGACTAGACAAGAATAATTTTTTTATTATGTCTGTTAGCCTTTTACTCAGAATCAGATATTGTATAATTCAGGTTTTATTTGATTTGTCCCGGAAAATAATTTTTCATATTTATGTTCTGTTCCTGTCAAGTAATGTCATCAAATCAAAGTAGACGGTACCATTTAAAGTTAACATGTGTCATTTCATTTCAAACCAGGCTTTGTACTTTGTCATATGTGCCTGACTTAAATTAATGATGAGCTTAAAATTGGTCATTTAATTTCAAACCATTTTTATCTTGTCAGTTTCCTATGCTCATTATGGGGAAAGAATGTCATTAAATTTTTCTCTCCTTGTGGAAGATATCAGAATTATTTGTTAAACTTAAAAAAAGTGGCTGTTTATGTACTCGGTGAAGTCTTCGTGGCAATCTGTCGTGCCAGGTGGCCATATAAAACTGATGTTTCGAGAACCGTCTTGGCCTTCATCAGGGAACTGGTATCAGATGTCAAAAAATAAGTTTTATGCGGCCACCTGACGTGGCTGATTGCCCATTAAGACTTCATTGAATTCAGTCGCCATGAAAGCTACATTTATGTCGAGACTTTTGGGAGAGACATTATTTATGTGTCATGTTATAGGTGTATGGTTCATTGAGATGCAGTTTTTACAATTTTTATCTAGCAGATTGTGATTGATTTTGAACTCATTGTGTGAAATACCTTGTTTTTCTGTACGAATGACCACTGTAGGATGTGTTACTGGTGGGATTTACCTGGAACAATATTATTTCTTTTGAGTTAATGTGGGTCTTCAATTCTCAGTTAGCAGTTGACACGTTTGTACCTTGCAGGAGAATAGTGTACAACGATCTTCAGGCCATTGCACCTGAGCAGTACTTCAAGCAGATCACCAAACGACTTGCAGAGATTAAGGCTGTTTCTGTAAGTACAGCTTCATTTGTGTTATTATCTTCTCGGTTAAGATGCTGTATGGTCTTGTTGGTAGTAACTAGCATTTTGGAAGAATCTGTTTCCTCCAGGTTCAGGGTGGAAAGGTGGAAGTTGGAAGAAATAAGTTCTTCTGAAACAATAAATACTACCTACGAGAGTATACAGCATCATAATCTGCAGGACCACAATCCAGATTTTTTTACCATTTTAAAAATCTCACCAACCTTGTGTAAGAAACTAAACTAACCCCCCTGAATGGAGGGTTAAAACGCCAAATCAAGTATTAAAATTAAAAACTTTTGAAACAAAATCAGATGTTCCTGTTGGTAAAAGCAGATAGAAGTGGAACATTGCACACATAGTTGATATCTGCAGTAGACAGTCTGCTGCTGCGTTGTAAACTGAATTTAGACAAGTGGGTTGAAAATTCGGTCTTCACTCTTTGAAAATTTGCTCAGTCCTGCATTAAAGAATGTTTTAGAATGACTGGAAGTACGTGTTTGATTAATCGCACGAGTGATCGTGTCCATAAATGCCGTGACAGTCTTCTTGCAAGGGTTCTGTTGTAATCAAATAAGTTGAATCGTAAATTGTAATTTGCGTTTCCAGAGTCCTGAAGAGCGAGGCCTTGTAATCCAGGTCCTAGAGAATGCATACAGGTTTACACTTGGTTCCATCGGTGGTGGTAAGTCGATGTGTTACGCAGAACACGTCTTTTTCGTGCTTTCTAATGTTAATTTGTTTCTTTTCACAGTCCCCACCCTCCCCTATTTTGCCAGTTTCTAACAAAACACGTGCTTGTGTTGATGTTGGTCTTCTGAGTAGCAAGTCTGTATGTACTTGTGAGTAGATACCAACACTTTCGTGGAACGTACTGCCCTGTGTTTCAGCCCTGGAGGTGGTATATTTCTGTACAACATTGGTATCTGCCAACAAGTTCATGTGGATTTACTACGTAGAAGACCAATATTGACATTTTCACTGCTTTGAGAGCCTCATATCTTTTAAACACACACTAATGTTTTCTTTAGAATCTACAAAAAGAAATGTTAACGTAGATGTGTTGTCCATATGAGAGGTGTGACAAATAAGTTCCTGGAATAACCTTGTAAGAGCTGTATTTAATTGTGCACTTAATGAGTTGGTGTTTCCAAACATTTCTGTAACTTCTTTTCTGGAATGCTCTTCAGGATGATTGTTACATGTCCGTGATGTCAGCGTTTAGAAATCTGTGAACCTTCAAAGTGGTGTTCAGGTTTCGGAATAGCCAAAAGTCGCACGGGGTCAAATCTGGCGAATATGGTGGATGATCCAATTTAGTACTGATTTTTTGGCCGAAATCTTGCAGACAGCGAACGTGTCATGAGCAGGGGCACTGTCATGATGCTTGATTGAAGCATCAGATTAAATTCCAGGTCTTCTCCAATTGGCAGCCTCATGCAGGCTTGCCAACATTTCCAAATAAAATGCTGGTTAACCGTTCGACTGTCAGAACAAATCAGTGTCTGCACTTTTTATACATTTTCATCTGTCCAGTGAGTTTTCAGATGTCGTCTACTTTCATCATCTTTCACATCATCCCGATCATTGACAAACCTTTCAGACATCAGCGCCATAAGCCTCTGTTAACATCTGCAGAGTTTCACGTGCGTTTTTATGTAACTTTGCACAAAACTTCATGTTAATGCTTTGCTCCAGCAACCTATAACTCATTTTTCCACAGGGACGAAAATACGTGCTCTGGTAACTCTGCGACTGCTTTGCTACTACTGGTTATTTGTTTCGCCAACACATACGACGCAACCACAGACAAATTGTAACATGTCACTGCTTAGTTATTGCTCACATTCTACTTACTGTGACATGTGGTCGTTCCAGGATGTTAATTGTCACACCTTGTGCGAAGTTAAATATTGAAAGTGGTTTTTTTTGGACACACAGGGTTACCAACATCTTAAGTACATTGTTTTGGAGAGGAGACTGCAAAAAATGTATTTATTCATTCATTTCTAATTTTACAAAAGGAATTTATTCCTTGAAAATTATTCATTAAGCAGACATTTGTTAAAGCAAAATTAATTTTTTTATTTATATGAAGTGATATGAAGACATTTTCATATCTTTGTGTGAAAGTTTACTCCTTTATTACCACGAATTTTGCGATACTAGTTATAAATCTTTTAAATGGAAACTTCTGACTTGAATTTGATTTCGTGATAATAAATTTTATAAATTCTGCCTAGATGGCATAAGTGTCTTAGCAACATTGTTTTTGTGTAGCGGTGGGTGCGACAGCAGTGTACCCCATTGACTTGGTCAAGACGAGAATGCAGAACCAAAGGGCGGGCTCATTCATTGGTGAGCTGATGTACAGAAATAGCTTTGACTGCTGTAAGAAGGTCATCAGGCACGAAGGCTTCTTCGGTTTGTACAGAGGCCTTGTGCCACAGTTGATGGGTGTAGCACCAGAAAAGGCTATCAAACTAACAGTAAGTGGAATCGGAAGCGTCTCAGAAATTGAAATGAAGTGCTTGTGAGATTGTTAAGAAATCTGTTCACATTTAATTCAGTTCTGTGGTGCTGTTAATTAAAAACAGCATGGTATACTCCTAAAAGTTAAAAATATATTTCAGGTAAACGACTTTGTTCGAGATAAATTCATGGACAAAAATGGAAATTTGCCGCTTTATGGCGAAATCATCTCAGGAGCTTGTGTAAGTGAGTTTGATAATTTACACTGTATTTGTTGATGCACGTTTGTTTTATTCCATAGATTTATATAATGCTTAAACTTGGTAGCCTACATGTTGTCCCATTGGCTTACATCAGTCTTAATTACCTGTGCTGGCGTCCGTTAGTGGTATTAACATTTTCATAGAATAAAGGTCTGACAATTATGTACTGTAATTGGACTGCTTGTGTATAAAAAATATATACAGTAACAGTTTTCTTGAATGTCTGAAATAATTGCTGGTTGCAGGCTGGTGGTTCACAAGTTATATTCACAAATCCATTGGAGATAGTTAAGATTCGTCTTCAAGTAGCGGGTGAAATTGCAAGTGGAGCAAAAATAAGTGCCCTCAGTGTTGTGAAGGAGCTTGGCCTGTTTGGAATGTACAAGGTAAGAACCTGCTCGAAGTTATGTGCATCCGTCTCTTGCCCCCAGATTCAGACGTCGCAGCCTTCGAACAAAACTCGGAACGTAAATTTATAAAAAATACAGTTATGGAAACTAAGTTGGCGCCATTAACAGGTAGTTGTGCATGGAATGTATTTCTTCTTCTTAAGGTGCTGTCTCTGAACGTACGTTATATATCATTAAGGCAATTCGTATTTTTTGATGCAGCTGTTCTAAACAGTTCAATTGATATACATCCAAACCACTCTCTAAGATTTCTCAGCCAGGATGTTATACATCGTCCTCTTGAGCTTTTACCATCAATCTTCAAAGATTCACGCTATTTATTTTACTACGAGGCGCGTCCCAAAAGTAAGTTTCCCTGGGGCCGTTTACAGAAACAAAACACAATTTCATGGAAATATTTATTGCAACAGATACAGCAAGTGTCCAGCTATTTTTCAACATATTCGCCACCGGAATTGAGACATTTGTCATACCGTGGGACCAACTTTTGAATACCTGTGTCGTAGAAGTCTGCCGCCTGGGATTGGAACCACTGTGTGACCACCATCTCCGCCTCTCTGTCATTCTCAAAACGCTGACGCTGACCGGACAGGAATTTCTTGAGGTGTAGGAAAAGATGGAAATCACTGGGAGCGAGGTCCGGGCTGTAGGGTGAATGATTAAACACCTCCCAGCTGAACTCCTGCAGGAGACTTGCTGTCCGTCGAGCCGTGTGCGGCCTAGCGTTATCACTGACCGCACTTCACAGTTGGCGGGAGCTGGAATAAGAACCTCCATCTTCAACAGCTGCAACGATGCTACTGTGAGAACGCGGGAGGTGCCGTTAGTGCTCTATCACGTACGCACAGTCGCTTCGCGCAATATAAGGTTTGCTAGCTGTGGGACGAGTGGGAAACTTACTTTTGGGACGCGCCTCGTATTATCTATAGAATGTAACTCATTTCTTAGGCTGAATAAGATGTTAATGCTATTCTTTGTACCTTATGGAAACCATAAACAGTGTGTGAACCAATAATTCTCATTTTCAAGGTTTATGACGTTTGTATGGGATAGGTATTGGTTTGTGTATGTGTTCTGTACCAATTTTCTACTTTCCTCTCTACCTGCGTGTACAGGGAGCAAAGGCGTGTTTTCTTCGTGATATTCCGTTCAGTGCCATCTACTTCCCAGCGTACGCCCACACAAAAGTAAAATTAGCAGATGAGAATGGCTACAACCACCCACTGTCACTTTTGTTTGCCGGAGCCATCGCTGGCGTTCCTGCCGCATCGCTCGTCACACCTGCCGACGTCATCAAGACACGATTACAGGTACGTTACTAGACTAGGGCTTCGTGAGTTTGGAGGCTATTACGTGGATGTAAACTATCAGCTTAATCCTGATTTACGAGACTGACATGCAGGTGCGTCCCCCAAATGTAACTGTTTTTTAAATCAAGCGTTATGCGTTTTTGTACTATCCGTTATGTTGATGTGTTCACAGAAATTGTATAAGTTTTAAGAGGGTTGAACTGGTTGTATGCCCACAGGTGGTAGCAAGAGCAGGACAGACGACATACTCGGGAGTTATCGATGCTGCCGGAAAAATATACAGGGAGGAAGGGCTTAGAGCCTTCTGGAAGGGTGCGACAGGTATGACTGAAATATTTTGTCTGTTGCAGACATTTTCAACTGAAAATTTGTTCTGAGCTGAGATTTTTGAATGTGCAGTGTCAGGTCATCTGGATCGCTTTTAGAGCCATGCATTTCTCGGTGTTTGGAAGTAGAGTTTTCCATTAAATGATATTGCTTCTTTACTTTCAGTGATGAGAAATACAGCTCTCCTTTACACATTCTTTGTGTCCGTTTATCACTCTTTTAAGTATGTGACTAGAAAATTATTAGGTAGGATACGCAGTAAAAATCGGTAAGAGACTGCTATGCCTTTATGGTATTTAACTGTATTATTTCCCTTGAAGATTCAGATATTTTGTCATTTCAGAGGACCTGTTTTTGGTTGACGACCTTGTCAGGTTTCATATTATATCCTGGTGTATCCTGCCTGACCAAGAATTGCCGATTTTGTTGGAGGATGCTCATGAATGTTTACGTTATACAGTGGATGTAGAGGGGAGCAGGGAAGTTATGGGAAGGAGAGGCTGCGTGGTATACCCGTGTAGCTTACATCACCAATTAACAAGACAGTTTTCGAAGTTTGACCCGGCAATCCTTGGTTAGACGGGAAAAAGGAACTTCAACTAAGTGACATCAGTGCTGACTGTATGGATTAGAGCAGTGGTCCCCAACGCAGTGCCCGCAGGCGCCGAGGCTTTTTTTGGGTGCCCGCATCGTTACGGAAATAGTTATACTGAATAATGAAGGCCGTTCAACCACGAACATTATAAAATCAAAGCACAGATCTTGACGATTGTTTGCGAGCAGCAACTTCATCCTACACTCCCAAACTTGAAAAACTGGCCGATGAAATGCAGCGCCAAACGTCACACTAACTTCCCACTTGAGTAATAATAATTGTACTTATAAAACTACGTATTTTTGATTGCATGGTTTCTTGTATCGCTAAACGTCGTGTTGTTTTGCGTATTATTTGGTGTCCATATCCTATTTGTCCAAAGAAAAGAAAATTTGGCTTTGTTAATTGGTTGGTGTCCGCCACGATCTCATAAACTCTCAAATGTGCCCATAGGCACAAAAAGGTTGGGGACCACTGGATTAGAGACATTTTCTCCCTTGAATTGTTAGAACAAATTAATATTTTTAATTATCTTCACACATTATGCTCTTGGTTTTTTCTGTTTACAAGGATTTGAGACTCTTGCATTGTTTTGTCATACTTCACAGGTGTCTTCTATTCTTTGAATTCAAAAAGGTTTCTGATAAAAATGGCCGTGTCCTGTTTTAAGATATTGGTGTGTGCTTGTAGGGACTGAAGGAGGATACCAGAAGTCTTTGGTGACTAAAAGTTTTTTTGTGCTGTGCTATGTATAAAGAATAACTAACAACCTAACAGTGAAAGGCAATTGATGGTTCTAATATACAAACATTTATTACACATTAACTAACCATAGAAATATTTATGTATTATAAATATTTGTTTTAGTGAAAATTAATATTCATATTATTTTTGGGTATGACTAAAAGTTCTGCAAATGCTGAAAACTCTGTAGCTATAGTGCCTTAAAGATACATTAGTTGTGCGATGTATTGGTATTGCTCTAATGATACGTCAAACTTTCAGTTGTTTGTCACATCTGGGTTATTTCCATAAGATTGCCGGGGTTTTTTATGCTATTACACATTCAATAGGTGTAGATTTAAGGATTGATTTTATTTTCATGGGTTTATAAGTAATTTTGCTCTAAAAAGTGTAATGAGTAAAGTGGATTCACACTGAATATTCCCTTTGAGCAGCTGTGGTACGTCTGCACGTCAGTGTGCAGGGAAATTTGGCTTTCACTTGTATGCATTTATTTTATTTCTCTGATATCTCATTTTTATATTTTTATCACACCCAAATTACAGTAGTTTTCTTTCTAGTTGATCTGCCCCATTATTTTGCTTCACTGTGTTTCTCAGACTTTTGCTCCATATTTTCATCACACTGACTCATAAGAATTTATATTTATGGCTCATGTTTCCTTCTGACATTTTATTTCAGGATGTTCTGAAGAATTCTTCCTGTGTGTTTACGTTTGTTTGTGAATTCTTGCTCTGTAATAAAGCACTCTCCGCATTATTGGCGTAGATGTTTAATTAATCCATGTTCGCTTTACTTTCTTGGCATTAACAAATTATCACTAATGTGATATAATTTGTCTTCCTAATGTTCTCCAAAATATTAGGCTACAGTCTTCAGTATGTGATACAACATGGTCCCTTATGTGGGAGAGAGGAAAGAGTAAACGAACAGTGGATGATCGGTAAACTTGGATATGTGGCACTTTCAATGTGAATCCAGCTTTGGTTACCGAAATCGTTAACTAGTATGTTTTGTATTTCATATTGACCGATAACATAGAGAGGCTCTAAATGCAATTGGTAGTAGAATCTGGTAGCACTGATTGGATTAAAGTTTTATTTTAGTAATAGGTGTTAAGAGTTCCTCTCAAATTTGCAAGGGCGGATCTAGAAACCAATTTTGAACATTTTCAGGAGTGATGTTGTGTAAGAAATGTTGTAAATTGGATTAAATACATCAGGGGAATTTTTCCTTTGGTAAATCGTCTCCTATAACTTACGGAGTTTTTCCTATTTAGGTTAGGAAAATCTATTGCGTTACATAACACAATTGAAAGCTTAATTCTGTAGAGTGAAGAACTTTATACGTGATTTGTTTTCCTTCTTTGAATATATAACGGCTGTTTAGTAAACATATGAAACTAGATATGCCAGGTTTCTTAATAATACAGAAATTAATGTTCCAGAGAAAAGTTTTTACAGATTTTATTTGCAATTTCTGAGAATGTTTATATTGTTCTCAGATGTATGGTGAGACACGTTTTTCAGATTCTATTATCAAAATAGGCAAGGAAGAGAATTACAAAATGAATTAAACATTTTCTGTAGTAAACTATGCCTAATTAATTTTTTTTTTAAATTGTAGTACAAACTATTTCTTGTGGTTGATATTTTATTTCTTACTTTTGGATGTTCATTAAAATCTCTTCCTTTTGTATTTCTGTCCCCCCCCTCCCCCCCCCTCTCTTTGTAAAGTGTATTGTGTTAATACATGTTTCCTTTCTTTATGATACGGGGGCCCGGGCCCCCATGGAACTTCTCCCCCTCTGGTTTGATCCGCCCTTGTCCGTAAGTATTTCATCACACTTACAGCTGCTTTTATTTGTTAGCCTTATTGTACATTCTGTTACTAATCTGCTGATGTTACCCTCTGTGTACTGGTATACTGCCTGCTATACTCATTCTTTCGTATGTGTGAGGTTCTCGGTCCAAATCTTCTGGAGATGTTATTGATTTTCATCAGTACCTCAAATTATTCCATGACTGCTTCTTTCCACAGCCCTTCAAATTCATTATGAATTAATCATCGTACCATCAGTGCTATGTAGTAAGAGTTACTGACAGTGTTCAGTAAATTGTAACAAAATGATAAGGTGCTTCTGTATTGCTGTAAAAAAAAACAGTAGGTAATTAACATTTTTAATGAGATCAAAGCCATAAAAATCTGACATTAGGCCTGAGCAACCTGATTCCATGCTATTGAGATTGACATATTTTAGGTGGGGATGCATGAAGAAACATATTTATTAACTGAAACATTCTCTTAAATTAAACTGAAACTGAACTTGGATTTTCTTCTGACTGTCTGGTAACGTGTATTTTTGACAGATCATCAGTAAAGTAACAGTAAAGCTGTCCCACTATACGCCATGTAGGCGCTTGGAGGGGGGAAGGTATAGCTCCTAATCATTCTTTGACCTTGGCACTAGGTAGGGGTAAGTGGTCAGTGTCACCAGTTGATTTTGTAATTTCAAGAACTGTCATTGCCAATCCTACCACTATGATCACCAGTCTCCTTGTTCACCACCACAACCGTCAGTATCACCACAATCACTGTAACTGTTGCCATCACCGCCACTCGTTTAGCAAAGTATTTGGACCTCAGCAGAGTACAGCGGATCCCCTTTAGAGTGTTTTTCTGGGGACCATAATTTCTGATCGCTACACGTGAAAAACTATAAGTGTTAAACTATCAAGAATAAAATAATTTTTATAGTTTGATAATTCAAAGGATAAACAGTTTAAACTTACTTATGTTAAATCTCTTGTAAATAGTCAGTGATTGATGTCTTTATATTTGTTGATCTTGTTTTCCGTGCTTCTACGTATAATTCTTTTTGCATCTACTCTTCAGTTCTTTGTAAAATACCAGTGATTCCCCATATCCAGTCTTTCTTATCGCTGTTTTATTTTATTCAGCCAATTGTTCCATTTCTCGAAACTTCGTTATCCTAATGCATCTCCCAGTAATCTCATCTCTTCTCAAAATCTGCTAATAAGGACTCTCTACCACTTTCTCCTTCCTGTTTGTTCTTCCCAGTTCTTTCACATGTGCTCCATTTTCTTCAAAATAAGTTATAATTACAAGTTTTTTTCCTGTAACTCTGGAAAAGGTTCTTGATGACAAAAAATTGTAGGTGTCCAAACTACACTTTAGTGTTGCTCAGACTCAGCCAATGAACCTGTGCGTGATGAATTAGATCGCCGTATTTAACATCATTCTACTGAAGAAACACCTGGAAAGTTCTGCATTTCAGTACGCTGTTATGAATGCAATTCACAACAGCCTCAACTACAGACATCACACGTTGAAACTGATTGAAGTTCGCTGGGTGTATATTGACCTGCCTCGGATTCCAAAATGGCTAAAATCTGTCTCCATATCTTTTACATTTATAGAGCTGGGGCTACCTGATTTAATTCAAGAAGCAGGAATTTTTGCACTGTAAAAAATTACTGTAAAGCCATGGTGGTCTAGCGGTTAGAACGCTAGCCTTGTAATCTTGGGGTCTCGGGTTCGATCCCGGCGGTGCCCGAATTTATAACTTGTGTTGGGCAAGGCCGTGGTCTAGGGCAACACGGAGGTTTTCTCCGTGGCATCCCAACAATTACTCTATTCACACACAGAAGAAGGCAATGGCAAACCCCTTCTGGATCATCTGCCAAGAACGTATATGAACAGGTCCCAGTCCGAGAAAAGGATGGAAGGATCCTGTTCATATGGACCTGTCGTCAGACAGAACAGTAAATAAAATAAAAATATAATAAAAAAAATTACTATGTAGTTATGAAGGGGCATTTGTTTCTGTTTTTAGGCACAGGTAAACAGGGGTGTCCTCTCGACAAGTTTCAGACTGATCATTAAACCGCCAGATGAACTTAACTAGTATAGTAATATTACTGCTGTCACACGAAATAATATTTCATGAGCTAGGTAAATCACTTTCGCAGGTCATTTGTTGCGCAGGCCTACTTTACGCTGTAAATAAATTCATTTTATGTGATTTTAGTTGAGATCATGACAGATAGACACTATACATCATTTCTGAGAAATCTGTAATTTGAAGCCTTGTTTCTTACTTACACCAGCAATCAGGCTTGTACACCAGTACCGTATGCATATAGTATAGATGTAGAACTGTGATCTTGTGTTTGCATGGTTTTGCTGCACTAGACTGGTGTATATACCTGCCACCTCACATAATTACGCTCGGAGAACAGTGAGTGAAAGGTCAGTAAAGAGAGTGGAAAGGGATGTGATCAAATTGATAATTTGGTTTGCGATTACTAAATTCTTGGATTTGTTCAATGTCTGTTATGTAAAAGAACACAATATTTTGGAATCTGGATCCCTAGTGTAACATGCTATCGTCAGAACCCTTTAAAGTTTACATGAAAATGAGGTATTTTAAGCATTTCACTCCTTTTCTTAAAAGCTATTGTGTGAATAAATGAAATAAAACTTTTATTAAATTTGCTTTTAATAAGGTTATACAGTTGTTGTGCCTGGTAGTTAATTTTCAGGTATCGCTCCTTAATATTTCTTGTTACCGCTGTGCAGTTTTCATATCAACCACCAGGAACGTGTTTAATATTTTAAAGTGACACTGTGCAGTATTTTTGGCTCTGTCCGCGCACAGTGACTTGACGGGAAAGAGGATGCATCTTATACTGAACATTATGAATGAGTGTTTAGCACTTCTGATTGAGATTCAGGAAGTCTTGGGTTTAAATCTTGGATTGGAAATTCGTTGTTGTAACTAATGTTTTTAATATTTTCTCTCATTGTCTCCAGGCAAATGGTAGAATAGTGCGTTACCCTTCATTATCCATGTGATAGTGCTTATGCACAGCCCTGCTGGCACGTGCGTCACACTAGCATATCACTAAGCCAGTAACCCTGGAGCTAATGTCCTGACAGCAGCCCCTTAGTGCAGCGATTTAAAGTCCCTGCTCCAAGTTCTTTCTTCCATATTCTTTCCATGTATTTGTCATTGTAATCATTCAGTACTGTATAGTCTCAACTTCTGGCAGTGTCATTAAATACACCAGAAATAATTAAATATATCTTGCTTATTGACACTTATACAGACAGCATAAATTCAGAGTACCCATTAAGAAGGCAAAAAGCCATTCTGGAAATGTGCTGAAGCGGAAAGTTTCATTGATCCTGTCAATAGGAGAAACTTGGCATTGCCGTCTGTAGCTCATTACTTTTTTGAATTATGAATTTTGAAGAAGTTACTGAGAATCGATAATTTCATCGTGTAAACATATTTTGTATTTTTGATTGTGGTCTTGGTTATGATGCCATATACATGTATCTTTTGGGTGTACACCAATATTTTGTAGGAATATGTTGCCTCCATTTTCAGCTCTGACAGTGAATGTGATACATAAACTTGAAACACTGTTTAGCACGTACAAAACCCAGAAGACTGTAATCAACAACTTCATCGCCATGAACACATCAAATCTCAGAGTTTCACCTTGTCTCTGGGTCTTTCATTTGTTATTAAATTCCCTTAGGAATCACTTTGAAGCCGACCTGTACATTCATACTCTGTATCTGTAAGTTGCATTTTTATTTTTGTACACATTTGTTGTAATGTAAAGTCAAAACATGATACATAGTAGAAATTTTAAGTTCTCTTAGCATAAGTAAAGTAAAGTAAAGTTTGTCCCGCTATGCGCCATGTAGGCGTTTGGGGGGAGTGGAGGTATAGCTCCTCTCTTCCTTGACCTCGGCACTAGATGGGGGGTGAGTGGTCAGCATCACGCCCCGGCCGGCTTTACCCCCGGGAAAGGACGGAAAAATCCTCTGTCCCCGTCGGGGATCGAACCCCGGTCGTCCAGCCCGTAGCTAGTCACTATACTGACTGAGCTATCCCGGCTCATATTCTCTTAGCATAACTCATTAGAAATTAGCAGGTGCAGTGTTAAACTAATATTTTATAATTTCCCTCAGTTACGGCTCCAGAAATAAAACTTGGAATATTCAATTCAATTTAATTCAATTTATTATTAGTGTGCTGTATTTTAACAAAATTTACCTATTAGTGTTCTCACACTATGATTTACCCTAGACTGTAAATGTTCTTGTCTCTGGCAAGTGGTAGATGATATTTCTGGAGCCGAATATTATTATTTGCTGTATGTCACCAGGGCACGTAGCAAAATGAATGAGGTTATGTAGATAAGCGTGTCTTGCTGTTACTGGCTGTAGGGTATCTGTGTCTGCCTCGGATTACACGGTCACATTAGGTTTTAGGCTTTTTGCAGATATGCAAGTTGGTCATCTTGTTTGTGGTAAGAGTACTTGGAAGACAGAAGTTTATGAGTAACATATCTGGAAGAACACGGGTAGGAGAGGGGAACTGACTGTCGTGTTTTATGTGTCATATATGAGAGCAACAGGACTTCTCCTCTAGTCGCAGTTACAGGCCTCTGAAGACCTCAAACAGAACTCTGCAGTGAAATCCATGTCAGAGACCTCTTTTGTTTGGCTACAGCACTATTTCGATGAATGAACTTAACGGAACGAGGATCTTGTAATTGTTTTAAGTGTGGTCTATAGGAAATTAGAGTTTTCTGAATTTATGTATTTTAAAACTCTTTACCACTTTTTAATGAATAAGGCCTCCAACATGTTCATTCAATTATCAAATTTAAAATGATAATTTGTTTAAGTATGTGCACCCTGAAACACAAGAATAGGTCATAAGAATTTATGTTTGGTGAAAGATTCTACAGTTTTGTTCCATATTGTTTTCAAACTTCATAACTTATTTTTAGATTAATAAACTTTCAAAGGTAAATTATAGAAGCAAAATAGCATGTACTCACCAGAGCCTACATCGAGACAACTCTTTCACGTTATGAGGCGAAGGAATGAATTGTCATTCCTCCTCCATTCTGTGTTTGTTGGAAATGACACCTTAGTATGCAACCATATTTGACGATCACAGTGAGCACGCTGTCTTAGGTTGTGGGTCGTGGCTACTGGAGCTCTAGGATTGTGTGTTTGATCCCATTGAAGACATGGATGGAAATGTGTCTGTGGATTTCTGTGTGTGTTGCCTGTGTGTAGGTAGAGGCCTTGCAACTGAGTCTTACCAAATGTTGAAGAATAAAAATATTTGGCAATAGGCTGACACCTAAGACACATGTAACCCTATTACCTGTTGTTTTGTATGAGTATTAAATCTGTATCTTACCCTGAGGGTGTATGAGAACAGCTGAGTGGAATATTTGGACCTAAGAAAGAGAAAATAATAGGGGATGGAGAATATTGTGTAGAGGCGCTTCTTAAATTGTGCTTTTCAGAAAATAATATTAGTGATCAAATCAAGAAACATGAGAGGGCAGGACAAGTAGCATGCATAGGAGAGATGGAAAAATGCATGCAGCATTTTATCAGATCTCCCGAAAAAGTGGATCATGACCTTGATGAGATAATATTAAAATGTATGTTAAAGAAATATAAATATAGATTCAGCTGGTTCAGTTGGGTGCTCTTGTGAATACAATTATAATCCTGATTGTTCCATAAAAGGTTTATAATTTCTTGACCAGCTGAGCAACCTTTATCTGGCACAAGGTGACTGCTGCATGGAATTAGTATAAAACCATTCTGTTATAGTTTTCTTTGGTTTGCATGTAACATTTTTTCGTTAGATTCTGTTGAGGTCTTCTGTTTTCCATCCAAGTGTCGGACATCTCCCTGTGGTGGTTTCTTGCAGTTTCAGGAAACCAAAGTTAATCTCTGTTCTTATCCTGAGTGAAAAGTTTGCAGTCACCTGGCAAGTAGGAGCCTTCAGTTTTGTAAAAAAAAAAATATTTAGAAATTTTAAAAGAAAGATTTTCTTCCATTTGTGTTTCTGTAGGCCCAGTAAAATTACGCACACTTAATTTGACTTGAAATATCTTGCAGTTCTTAGTACACAGAAATATTTCATTTTTTGTTCCCTTTGTGTTTATATCGATTATTTATATGCTACATATGCAGTTTTTGGCTTTCTATCTAATGTTTTATTAAATGACCTTGTTGTGTGAAAATGCATTATTTTTATTAATATCTTGAAAAAGAAAACTGTTCGTATTCTCTTTTTTTGTTAATTATTTTTTATAAAGTTAACTGTTCTTGCCGCAGCTCGAGTGTTCAGATCATCACCGCAGTTTGGGGTGACCCTACTGACATATGAAATCCTCCAGAGGTTGTTCTTCATCGACTTTGGAGGGACGTGAGTATTATTTCATCACTTGCAGATTTGGATGCATGTTTAGACACAGTACGTGATGGATAAATATATCTTGATGCGAGAAAGAGTTTATGGGAATTAAGTTCAAGTGGAAAATATAATGCAAATGCTACCTGTAGTTAATGATAACTTTCCCATGCAACTTGTAAAGTCGAAGACAACCGTGATGAATCTGAACTTCACATCATACCTGTAATTCTGCTGAACAGTTATGCCTCTTGGAAGAAATTATTATTCATTATTGGATGCAATTTTATTTATAAATATTAGAGGTGACGTGGATCATTGCAGCTCCTCATTTTCATTTAAATGCTATGAATCTTGATTCTTTTTAGAATCTGTTACGATCCTTTATTTATTCCTTAAATTTAGGGCATGTCAGATCAGTTACTTTTGTTCTTTTATATGTAATTTTAAAATTATTTATTGTATTAACTTTTGGAAGGTTAATTAATTTTTGGCTGCAGTAACTGTTGTTTTAAATTTGACAGACATGTCATAAACCTGTAGTTAAATATGGGCTTGGTCTATGGTGAAATTTAATAGGTGTATGTGTACATGAACATTGCCAGTAGTAGGTAGTGAATGTTCAAAAAGACGTGGAAGATGTCACTGTATGGCATGTAAATATTTCAAGCTGTTGCCAAAGGTAAATGTTGACTGTACCTCTGTACCCAAAAAGCACAAACTTTATGGATCGATTAACAACGTTCCTTTTTCAGCTCTCGCTTCATATGTGTTTGTACCACTCTTACATAATTTTTCTGATTTTCCAGTTCTTTTAATTTTGATTAAATTTATGTACATATCGGAAGTGAGAGAAAGTAGGTAATGAAATTATTGTCACCCCGACATACATTAAGAACAAAATTGAAATTATACAAGTAGATATTACAGTGCGATTCTTACAGCGTCATAGCCTTGTTCATGTCCAAAATATTTGTTTGGCTGAGATGTGTTGTGCCCGGAAAGGTTGTAATTATTTCTCCTACTGTATTGCATTTGAATTGTAGAAGCTATAATCATTACATTTCTCCAAACATTTCAGGCGTCCTTCTGGTTCTGAACTGAATGTCCCATCTACAGGTGTGGCTGAAGAGATGAAATCAACGAATCCAGACCACATCGGTGGCTATCAAGTGGCGCTACCTATCTTTGCTGGCATTGAATCGAAGTTTGGACTGTGTTTACCAAAGTTCCAGGTAGCATCATCGTAAAAGTAAGAAAGAAACAACAACGCGCGAGCCGGAACTCAGATACGCTCCGTCTAGCATACATTGGTCTATGGAAGGTGACAAACCAGTAAGCTGATAGAAAGCCGTGGGTTTTTTTCCCTGGTAAATTACCGACAATGAATTTTTAATCGAGGCGAAGTACTAAGAATTCATTGATTTAAACCAATGATCATGATTAAATACCCAACTATTACATTTATTAAATGAGTAATTTTTTGAGATTAAAAAAATGCTGTCTTGAAGGGAGTTTCATTTAATTCTTAAACAGGAAAATGCATGTTGTGCAAGTATATATAGAGTGAATATAGATTATTTTTGTAAGGGGGTGCGTCGTGTTGTGCGTTGGATTGTTCGGTTGACGTTCTGTCTACACAACAATTTTATTTTTCTTCGTGTGGATGGACTGTCAGCCTAACAAAAGAGATTATATCGAAGCAGATGTTTACAAAATCATAACAGGTGGGCAGTGTCTACTTCTGTGCCTCTCACACTACTGGAAGGAGTTCAGGGCACTGATCTGGATCTCTCAGCTGATGGCAAACAAATAATGATTTCAGTATGTTAAACATAACAGAGGACAAATGATTGTGGACCTCGTACTGGATTGGTGGTATTTGTATTTATTACTTCTAATGCCCAGTTGTCAGCGGACATTCATCTCCTCCTGTAGTGTCCGAAGAAAAGTAACATTTCCACTCGTGTTAGAGTTATAAAGGATGGAATTTTTTCCACACAAATTGTTGTATCTGAAACTGAAGAGGTTAATTGTGACCCACTGTCTCAGATAGAGAATCAGCTTTATTCTTCACAAAACCAGACAAGGAATTTTTCGTCTGGGATTTGGAGTAATGCGATCAATGGAGTGCACCTTCAGATGTTCTGCGTAGACACGGATCCAGTTCATGAGTAGTATTAAATCCTTTATTTTTGTATGTACTGGTATGGCACTATGGGCTGGCATAACTCAGAATGCAGCTTATCATGGTAGTTCATTTATTTAAAAGTTAACAGTACCTGAACCTTGTTGTGATGGTGGGGCTTGAGTACCTCAGTGATCCCAAGAGCTATGCTGGCGGTAGCGTAGCTACTGATAGGGCCTCCGTAGCCAGATTGGTCGAGGGGGAGAGGTCAGACTAAGACAGGTACCCAGGTTCTCCAGGTTGGGGGTTGGTCGCAAGGCTAACAACCTTGCACCGTAAAAAGGAAGATGTTTCGAAACCTCGATCAAAGCCTCGGACAGACGGACCTAACAGAGGACCGAACGGAAGAGGAGAATTGAGGAGGCCATGGACCGAATATGGACCGGAGAGCTACAGAAGAAGAAATAATAATATATTCAAGTTGCATAGAAGACAGTGGGTACAATGAGCAGAGAAAGAAACTGTAATTAAAAGTTTAAAAATATAAGTGAAATAGAGAACAGGGTATCTTTGTTATCATCTGTATTTAATTTTTTTTGTTTTACCTTATAATTTACAATATCATCTATTCAAATAATTTCATGTACCATAAATTATTTCCCTTGTTACTTTTTGTAAGTTCGTGTAAAATGTTTTTCACTTTGGTGAATTTCAATGTAACGTAGTTTTTATTGTCCCTTTAACCATATATTTTTGTGAAGTATTCATGCAAAAATCTGAATTACAAAAGTAATTACTCGCCGCTGTCAGCTGAATTTTCGGTTGTGGTGATCCGGTGTTATAACTTATTAGACAGTACAATGATTTGTCGCAAAGAAGTGTCTGTTTAGAAGGAAAGACAACTTGTAGAATATTATATTCAGTTTTATTGAATGCTCTGTATGTGAGAGGCATGAACCAAAGAGAGAATGTTGTATGCATTTCCCTACACTGTTCAAAGGATATTTATTTGTTTTAAGAGCCTTTTGAGGAACTGGGGGCGGGGTGGGGGGTTAAAAGTGATTAGTTATTGTTTCATTTGTGTGGTGCTGAAGTTTAAAAACATAAAATATGATGAATGATGATTCATGAGATCTTGGTGCTAGAAACTTGTATAAATATATTCTACTATATTTATTACAATATTTGATATTGGATTAATTTCAGGAATTTATTTTGGAATAGCAAACTGGGATAAACTGCCATATCAGTGTGTTACGTCTGTGAATATTGGGAATCGTAACTGGGTTGGTATTTTTCAGGTCAATTGCATCATGTTCAGAAGCTCTGATATGTTCATTATTCATGAAAATTCAAATTCAAAATTAGTGTGAATTTGAGAGGTGAGATGTTGACCTCTGATTTCTGATGTAACCTTAAACAAGATGATTACATAAACTTAATCCATTAGTTGATATGCCATGTACATTAATTCATTTTATAATTTAATGTTTTACTTTTGAAACGTGTTCCTTCACTATCATCCTCTCATCCGATGCCATATAGTCTGAGCTACTATTAAAGCGTCGTTAAATAAACTATAAATAAATTAAATAAACTATAAATAAATAAATTTACAGGAATGAGTCACTTCATGAGTTATTTCTTTGCCCATATTTGTTATCGTCATCTTTTCATTATCTCTCTGACCACTGTTCCGTTACACACTGACATATTGAAATTAGTTTAGTTTCTGGAAGGGCAATTATCTGAGCTTATTTGTTGATTGTTCAGTGTTTGTCTAGGGGACACCACGTGTTCGCTGGCCACTGCACTACTTTCTTGACCAAATCTAAAAATGATTCTCTGAGATCTCACTGGAGTAGGAATTGGAAAAGAAATTAATTTAGCATGGTGTTGCCCACATCATGACTTATAATCATTAGTCCTGGGAATAAGATGACAGATCAGTTGGTTCGAGACGTCTGTTGCCTTGTGAATGTTAAAGTGCTTGATATTCATTGACGTAGTTCACCTCTTTTGTGCCTGTGAACAAATAATTAATTTTGAAATTCCATTTAAATGCTCAGTTTGGATGCTGTGACTGTCACGTGTATGCGTGTGTGAATGGTTGTAAATTTAAACCAAATTTCATGTTTTTAGATTTCATATAGCTGAACCCAAAAAGTGGTTTTGATTTTTTTAACAACTTCTACATTTGGATTGTTCTCGACACATGAAATGATCCAAGCGTCTTGGGTCTGTTTCTTAATGTTCAGACGCAGAGAAATTTTTGTTCTCCATTCGGACTCAGATGAGCGGATGGTCTGTGGTAACATATCTAGCCGTTGATGTGATGAGTTACTGAAGCCCGATGTTTGGAATTGCTCCAATACAAATACACTTGAATCTTGAAATGGAAATTTTGAAGTATTTGTTTTATATTTGTACTAACCTCCATTATTTTGTATGTTGTTCCATTACATATGCAAAAATGCTGGTGGATTTCTGTGCATTCTTTATTTACCTCAGTTACCCTTTTCTTGTAGGATTTCGCTGAGTAATTTATGGATGTTAAAAGACCTTCTTCAGACTACAAATTTTTTAATAAAATGTGCTGAACTATATATATTAAGATACATTTATTTTGTATCATAGGCTATGATTTTTTACAGAGACTACGAGTATACCTTACCTGACGACATACATTTTAAAGAGTTTGTTTTTGTCGTAATCAGTTTTTACACAAGTATGTAAATAAAGCCTTCATATTTTGATGTAGGCTAATATTTCTTACTGTTTCTATGCATTTCATATATATTGTACCTTCTTGGTACAGTTTTAATATTTTTTATCGTTTAATATTACACAGCTTTGAATAAAGTCAGGCGTCCTAAAATTCCATTTCAAGCTTCATATGAGAATTTGAGAAATTTTTGACACTGGTGTAGTTTTGAATTCTTTTAGAATTTGCTTTTAATGCAGTAGCTATATTTATGTAATTTGTTCATATGGTTCAAAATTATGTAATGAGTAGTTAAAAAACTAATATTAGCAAGAATTTAACATTGAATTTGAAGACATACAAGGGAACATTTTGATTGTACAAATAACATGACACGTCAGATTCCATCTTGAGGGTCTGTTAATGTTGTATTAGCTACGAGCAATTTGTTGAACCCTTTCACAGATGGTACAAGACTGACGTGTTATTTGTGCACATGTCACCACTCTTATCACGTGTTAAATTATTAATAAATTGTTAATTTGTTATTTTTAAACCATACTGAATCTGTGATTTTTATGATACTGTAGCAATAATTTGGTTCCTTACTAAACAAACTGTGTATATTTATTTCTTTAATGATTGCTATAATTGACAGTAAATACAAATAAAGCTGGGTTTACATTAATTCAAGCTTAAATTAAATTTACCCTGGAAAATAAGTGTGAATTAATGTAAACCGAAAGATTACTCAGATTTGAGAACCTAATTCTAAGTATTAGCTCAAATTCAGGGGTTAGGCAGTTTCTGTGTTGTTGAATGTTGATGAAAGTATGAAGAAAGGAAACTCCAAAATTTTCAGAAGCAGAAATTGTATACAGTTCATGTGATTGTTATGAAATGTAATGTGACCTTGAAAACTACCATAAGATATCTTCACTGCCACGAGGACCTCATTTCTAACGTGTTCTGAAGGTAAAGATGGCAAGAGAAAGGACAGAAAATCATTCTCCATTCCAAGTAAGAAAGTTTTTTGATAAATGTCTTATTAGATGAACAATTAACGAACTGCGTGGGACGTACCCAGTGCTATGATCTTTGCACTGCATTCTTAAACCTGCGATCTTGAAGATTTGCAATGGTGGGTTGGGTTTTAAGATAGCTGTCTTCGGGGTTGTTGCGCTGCGTAGTCTGGTAGAAGTTTACCTACATTTTAGAGGTTCTTGCTGCCTCCTCCATCAGGGTGATGACTCACCAAAGCAGAATAATATTTTCTTTGTAGCAGGAGAAGGTTGACCACACATTGAACTGTGCATAAACTTATTATGATGGGATGTCAACACAGTCGTCCAAGTGGCATATGGAATGATGCTCGTCAACCATATGATGCATCCGTTGGACAGGAAAGAGATGAAGTGGAAGGTATGAAATTGTTTTGAGGTTCTGGGGAAAGGAATGCGTTTACACTTCTACAGGATGTACCCTGTCCAAACCTACCTCTTCTATTGAATGAAGTGTAAACATGTTTTTCAGCAATTTGGAGTAAGTTTACGAAATTTTCCCAGAAATGAATGGGGTTAGGATGTTTTTATATAAATAAAACCTGTGCAGTTACAGTTTAAAAGCCATCTGCAGTAGATCAATAAATGATTCGTTACCTTCTTTAAGGCGAATAAATCTCGATCCATTGGAGTCGATACGGAACGTGTCTTAAAGAAAATATCACAGAATACTACATACGTTTCGAAGGCCATACAGTGCGGGTAGCCGAACTGTGTGAGCAAAGAGGATAGAATACCGATGTCTCGATGCAAAGAAGCGAGGAAGAATATCTTTTTATCGATATCTCAATCGATATGTTAGTGGGTGTCTGTATTATTAATGTAAATGGTGATACCGGTGACGGGTGTGATTAGAATAATGGTGAGAGTGAAAAAGAATTGCGTACTATTGAAACGTGTGTACAGGAAGTTTGCGTTGTTAGTTTACGTTAAAAACTGTGAAGTGTAACCGGATTGTACAAAGCAGAGTTGTACGTTGTACTTACGTCAGAAACGTTGTAGTTCCTCCTTGCAGCGTGAGTGTTGTTTATCGTTGCAGTCGTGTATCTGGTGGACAACTACTTCAGGCAAGCTTACCATATTCTCTTTGTTTAATTTAGATGATATTCTAGATTAAGTTAATAGAGTAGAGTAGAGTAAACCCATTAGTGAAGTTAAGATATATGTTGGTGATCTGTCATCAGATACACGTAAATGAATTCCACTCGAGCAGGGAAAATATAAGCAATGACCGCTTAGGGGTTCATAGGAATCTTCAGCTTTATAGGCCTATTATTCCTCTCATTTCATTGTTATTCATTTGTAAATATTTTGTAAGTAGTCCGGTTGAATAAATATTATTTTCGGTAACCCGTTGTAGCTCTTCTACATTAAGTCAGGCATGTCAACCTCTTAGGCAGGCGGGCCACGTTGACAAATTTATTTCGATGACTGGAGCACTCGCATGTATTTACCGTAAACAACGCAAAACTTTTTAAAAACGGACGATGGAAAAGTCCTGACAACAAATAATTTTAACTGTTACTGTTTGTTTGTTACATTATGGGCAAATCTTGCATACAAGATGTACGGTGGCTGGAGCATTGGAATTTTGGATGCTTCGAATGAATTAGTTCAGTTTCTTTGTTTTTATTGTACGTAAATTTAAATTTTCATATGTATATTGTATAAAACCTTTACAGAACACTTAAACAAGAAATAAAAATGAAAGCTGCACTGGCAGTAACCTTCTATGCTAAGTCCAATTTAAGAGGCATTATACATGAAATGGAGTTGAGCATTCATAATTGCCGTATGGGCCCTTAACTGGTAGCATCTTTCCTTCGACCCATAAATTGATTTGTTGAAGTACGATATAATTTTATTTGTATTTTAAATTATTATTTTTAGGATTTTAGTGTCCTAAAATTTAGATATGCAGTTCATTTATTTGTAAGTTCTTCTGTTTTGAGTCCCTTAGCTCAGAATATTTATGAAATTTTATAAAATCCTTAAAATGGAAATTTCTAGTTTGAGTTTCAGTGCAAACTGTTTGCAGTCATTATTTTAATTCAGTTCAAATATGAAGTTTAAACTGTTTTAATTGTCGGTGGCTTACCACGTCAGAGTGTAGACTGTCTATGCGGTAAGAGTAAGTGAGTGTTTTGTAGCCAAGAACCCAGCCAATTATTTCGTACACAACCCAAGATGAAACTTAATACTAATGTTACAACAATAAAATACATTACAACAAGGCAGTGACCATAACAACAATAATACCTGGATTTATATTTGAATTAGTAAATAAGTCTTGCCACTTTCTTTGCAATATAAACAAAACTTTCCTCCAGTCTTTGAGGCAAATTCTCTATAAACTGATCAGTGACGCTTGATTCCTCGGCAAGCTCGGGAAAAGTCGGTTCTCCCTCGGCAAGCTCGGGAAAAGTCGGTTCTCCCTCGGCAAGCTCGGGAAAAGTCGGTTCTCCCTCGTTACTCTACGGGAATGAGTTCTTTTTTTATCAAAATCCATTCTTCTCAGCAGTACGTGTTGCAGTTGGAGAAGTAATACGCGTGTTATAAGGCATCGCTGGTATTGAACGTTGAGCATGAAATGGATTACAGAACTCTCGGGTAACGAATTCAAGCTTTAACTTAATTCCTCAAATTCCACATGGCACATAATTAAATTTGTTTAATTGTGGTCAGTTTGAGAGAAATTTTTACCAGTTACTTTTTCAGATAATTAAACCGGTTTATATTTACGTAGTCAGTTGAGGACGTCTGTATGTATAACCGAATGACCAGAGACCTTGGACATGTAGCCTTCATTTGCAGATATGCAAAAGCTTGGCGGATGGAAGTATCTAGTTAGAAACGTAGCCCATGAAAGGGAATTGTTAAAAGCCTGCAAAGGAACACACGAGAATGACTAAAGCTAGAGAGAGAGTGTGGGCAGATGATTACTATCGATTTTAACCTATTTCAATTTTTTACGGGAAAAATATATGTTTTATAAGCTCATCATGCTACCTGTACGTGTTCTCCCATATAAGGTTTGAACCAGGTGACTGATTTTTATGAAATTTGGTATGAACGTTATGCTCTGTGATGAAACTGTAACCTCGTATGTGTTAATGCCCTATGCCTAGTAATAACAGCATGGAAGGGACATATTGAATATATTTATTAACAATTTTTTGTGCTGTTATTATATGTTTTATGCAGTGACAGTATATAGTGACGGATGATTGGATCGTTAATGAATAATTAGTTTTAAAATATATGGAAGGAAGTGGTCATGGCCTAATTTAAGTTACTGATCTGGTATTTTTCTGGAGGGACTGAGGAAAATCACAAAAACCTGTTATGGTGGCTGGTCTCTGGGTGACATTGAGTAAAATATTGTAGCTGTGAGAAATGTTCGTATGACAAAGGACATTCGAGGCGGAAACGTAACATTTCATATGAAAATTGTTTAGAATAATTGCAACAAATGCCATATTAAATATTGTTTGCAAGTCAGTAATACGCAGATTTGGCGAGTGTTTGAAACGTTCGGTTTGTATCCAACAAATTTAACGCAGACAGAGTCCGTACTGAAGTATTAAGTTCGACCAATCGAAATGTACTACGTCAAAGTCCTACTACTCGTATTATTAATAACAGACCGTGACATGTTTACAGTTCTAAAGAATAAAATATTTCTAGCCAATACAGAGTTTAATTACGTGACTCGTGTGATATATTTCAGTTAATTTTTTGATTATACACTTTAATATTATCTGAATGTCACATGAACAGCACGGAGCTTGTAGGCCTGGATGTCTGTGCCGTAGGAAAGTGGCCATTAAAGAATTCTGCCCAGAACTCTGTGTGTACCTTACATCGTCTTTATCGATTGTGTTATTTTCGAGACTCTACCGGAACATTTCGATGTTCTGTCGCCACCTTCAGTCATTTTGATAAAACATCAGGTGTCCTGCCTCGTATTTCAAATGCGTAGGCTATTTTGGAATCGGCCTCTGCCTGCGTTTCAGTTTTCAACTGAAAAACAAGATATTCTCTCTTCTGTTTGCGGAACACACGTCGTGAATGAGGAACGGGTGAATTTTGCATCCTTAATCCCGTCTGATTTCACGCACTGCACATAAAATGTGTTGAGCTCTGTCTTTAAAAGCTTCCAGCTTTAAGGGAGTTACTTTCACTGTGTCTTCGTCAGGTGTTACCCGTAGTAATGTTGCCTGAACCCTACAGTCGAGAATGGATTCCACGTGGATGCGTGTGTCTGATGAGTAGGGGCGAACGTGTATCGTGTGAAGGGCGATGATGTTGTGTAGGATTGAGATGACGATATAGATGATACATAGTTCCCATATGGTGAGTT